ACGACAACGACAACGACAACGACAACCGGCAACGGCAACAACAACGACAACAACAACGACAACGACAACGACAACGACAACGACAACCGGCAACGGCAACAACAACGACAACAACAACGACAACGACAACGACAACGACAACGACGACGACGACGACAACGACAACGACAAACACAACGACAATGACAACGACAACGACAACGACGACGACAACGACGACGACAACGACAACAACAGCAACGACGTTGACGACGACGACAACGACAACCGGCAACGGCAACGGCAACGGCAACAACAACGACAACAACAACGAAAACGACGACGACGACCACGACAACGACAACGACAACGACGACGACAACGACAACCACAACCACAACCACAACAACAACAACAACAACAACAACAACAACAACAACAACAACAACAACAACAACAACAACAACAACAACAACAGCAGCAGCAGCAGCAGCAGCAGCAGCAGCAGCAACAACAACAACAACAAGCAGCACAACAGGCATAGCAGGCACAACCACAACAACCACAACCAGAACCAGAAGGAGAATCGCAACAACCACGACCGCAACTGCGACTGCAACCGCAGTCGCAGCCATGACAAACACCACAACTACCACCACGAGAATGACGAGAACAAGGACGAGGATGGCGACGGCGAAGACTACAACTACTACCACTACATCCTCAATATATAGTGGAGGAATTCAACAAAAAAGCAAGCACGCATCCAAACAAATATGCAAAGCAATCCGAAGAAAACACACAAAAAGACACCTTCAAGTGTGAGGCCACGCAGGAGAGGCCAAAGCAACCGCCCATGCTGTGACTGATCGACGCACGCAACAACTGAATACAGTCTCGACACTCCACCTGCCAAAACCGCTCCAACCCCACACGCAACATGGCAGAATACCCCAATGCCTCTGTTCAGATCCGCCATGCCGTTCAATTGCTTCCGGCTGACCGACAGCTCCTGCTCTGGGCCTAGAGCGGGAACGTAAACCTATGGGCCAAGTAGGCGAGGTGGACCAAATATTGACTTGCCCCTCCAAATGCATGCGTGGGTGTGTGCAATTCCGGATCAAATCATTCCTGGAGAAAGCTTGTCGCACACGTCACACTCCACAACCAACCTCTTGTCCGGTCATGCCCGAACGTTCAGGCAAATGAGAAAAGCCGAGCCCGCCACTGGCTTCCGGACTGATGTACCCGTATCCCTGCTTTTTGCCTAAGCAAGACACGCCCAGGCTCAGCACTTGCAAGTCGAAACTGCGACTGAGAGGCGCCAGGACCTGAGAGCAAATGTTTTTGCAACCCAACCTGTCACATGCAATTGAATTGAAAGACATGCGAGAAGCCGAGTGTCTTGACAGTTCCTCTTTGCCGGCTCTCGTCTTTGTACATGCGTGCTCCGCCTTTTCCGGTGCATGCACAAAGCTGGGGGGACGCAGAGCTGTATGAGTTTGGTGCTTCGGTCGGGGGGTCTTTGTCCAATCTATTGGTGGTGAGGGTAGTGCTGGCAAAGCTACTGGCTCTGGCGCTTCAAGCGTTGTGGCAGCTGATGGTGCTGTCAGGGGGCTGTCAATTCATTTGAATGGAATTCTTGGCACTGAGGCTGAGGTTGAGCCGAATGGACGCCGACAACAGGTCAAGGCAGCAAGCCCTGGCAAGCGTCGTCGTTACATAACCCCGCAGCGAGGCACTGTCAAAGGCTTGCCACAACTCCCGGGCTTCGACAGCAACACCAAATCTCTTCTTGCAAGCTGATTCTACAACGTGGCCTGCCCTGCGCAAAGAGTCAGCGTCCGCATGTCGCGCCACGTAACGTTGGCGAATTTTGCTGAAGTGCTTCTGCACAAGCCACGACACAATTGATGTTCTTGCATGCAGGTATGCTATGAAGAAAGCACGAGTTTCATTATTGCGCAAGCTGCATAAATGGCTGCGCTGCGGGGAATGCGTCAAAACCCCGGCAAGCCAACTCAAGTCTGAACTTCCCATAAGCTCCAAATGACACCGCAGCAGGGTCACACCCCTTGTCCAGTGCCGGGCCGGTCGTCGTCCCTCAACGCAGTCATCTAAAACGTCCCTCGCTCTGCGCTTCTTTCCCACCTTCCCTTATAGCTTTTAACTTATAACCTTTTTTGTCACAACCTGCACTTCTTAAGCCATCCAACGACCCAACCAAGACAACAACTTCCCACCATCAAATGGCAGGCCGACAAGCCAGCCGGCAATGCTAACGAACAACAAACAACCAACCAAGCAAACCAATCAGCAACCAAACAAAGAAGCAAAGAATAGTACAAAGAAACAAGCAAACATACAAACGAACCAAAAAGAAAGACAACAAAACGGAACCGAAACGGAACGACACAAGGACGGAAGGAAAGAAGGAAGGAAGGAAGGAAGGAAGGAAGGAAGGAAGGAAGGAAGGAAGGAAGGCAGGCAGGCAGGCAGGCAGGCAGGCAGGCAGCAAGGCAGGAAGGCAGGAAGGCAGAAAGGCAGGAAAGCAGGAAAGCAGGGAGGGAGGAAGGCAGAAAGGAAAACAAACAAACAAAACAACAAACAGACAAACAAACAAAAACAAAACAAAACAAGCAAAACAAAACAAACAAACAGACAAACAGAAAAAAGACCAAGACAAAAAGAAGAGAAAAAAAAGGGGAAGGAGAAAAAAAAACTGACAAGCAGACGAGCAGACAAACGACAAACAAACAGACAAAGAGACACGCAAACACACAAACAGCTGGCAAAAAAAGTAAAGCAAGCAAAGCCAAGCCAAGCCAAGCCAAGCAAGCAGAGAAAAAAAAAGAAGAAAAAAAAAGGAGCAACAAATGCCGGAAAAATACGCTTGCTGGAAACTGGCAAGCAGCAACCAACACCTCTGACTGACCTCTTACACAAAGAGTTCTGAGGGCTGCACTTCCACTTCCCCTGACAGGTGCAAAGCATGGCAAGCAGGTAACGCTGCACGTTGCTCTCAGCTTCTACTGCAGCACCGCATGGCAGGAATGATTGATGCACAAAAGGCAACAAACAGCAATATCCAAATGCCTGACACTTTCTGCAAATCATTGTTGCATTTACATTACCTCTGATGCTGTCCTTGGCAGTGATTGCTGTAGGCAATCTGAAACAGCCTCTAATCTACTTTTCAAAGTTGCTGCGAATCCGACCCAGAATGTAGTCCCCCGCTGTTATGGGTTCACCAACCTCACCTTCGATCTTGACATGCTTGTCTGCTTGCATGAAGAAAGCCGTGGAGTAGCGGGACTTGGGCGGCGTGCTCTCTTCCAGTGTTGGCATGCGAACCCGATGAAGATTGGACAGCAAGCGGCCGTCTGACCATCGGCCCAACATGTCACCGATGTTGACCGCGATTCCTCCAGGTACAGGGTCGACTCTAAGCCATGGCGCACTCGCACCCTTCTTCACGACACTCGGGTTTGGGGCACACTCTAAGCCTTCATTTCCAGGCCGCTGGAACAATAAAGTGATGCAGCACCAGTCTGTGTGCGGTCCAGCTCGCCAATAATTTTCGGGCATCTTGCTCGGATCTTCCACGGGAGGATAATGGAGAAGTCGCAAAGTGCACTGCCCATCGTCCACCCACAGGTTGTGTGCTTTGGCCAACGTGCCGGGGCTGAGTTTTGGACATGCTATTGGCTCCAGGGTCGAAAGAATGCGCTGCCCGAGAGCATGGGCTGCCCTCATAAACTCAAGCATAGCAGGCTCAAACTCAGGAATGGATGGCCAGCGGCCTTCCATACAGCCTGCACGGGCAGTGATTTGGAGGCTCTCCTTCTGATCAGGAGTCATAGTCGATGGTCGGACTTGCGAAAAGTGCTCGTACCCAGAGTTCAAGTTGTGAGCAAATGGGCTCTGCGCTTCTTTGTCGCCTTTGTTTTGGGCAAAAAACTGGGCAGACAACTCGAATACCCTGTCTATGTCTTTTTCCGGTATCCCATGGTTGGTGATCACAAAGAATCCGGTCTCCCTGGATGCCTGCCACATTGCGTCTGCTGCACCTTCCTGAGACATGTCAATCACGGGGACATGACCTTGCACAGCAGCAGCTGCTCCCAGCCCTGTGGCCGCCAGGGATCGTTCGACGTCCACTTCACGGGCAGCTGCCGCATCTGCTGCTTGCCCGGCCTTGTCTGCCCTTGATGCGGGCCCGCAAGAGCTGCTGTCAAGAGCCATGGCTGGCCGCTTCTGCGGAAGTGTCGCCATCAAGCTGAGCGGTGCCACTCGCTCCAGTGAGGGCAAGGTGACTTTCAGAGGCTTCAAGCTGCGCAAATTCACTGCGCAAGACGCCGGAGCACACAGAAGCCCTCAACCCGGGCACCTTGATGCCAATCTCAGTTTTGCGAGGCCAAACCTCGGGCAACAGCAATAACTCGGCTCGAAAACGAAACTTCCGCTGTGCGGCGACGCATGTCTGCCAAGGCCGCGACAGGAGGTGGTGCCGGCGTCGATGCTGCTGTGGAGGGCGTATCAGCATGATCTGCCGACATCGAAGTGGCAGTGAGCAGAGCATTCCACTGCCAACCCCAGCTTGCAACGTTGGTGACCCGAAAAACTTGTTGGATTGATGACACCTTGTGGAAACTGATCAAAACTGCCCAAACTTGAGGGGTTGGCCTCTCCTCGCCGAACCACCTTAATATTGCAACAAAGCTGGACAAGAACACTCGAACACTTCTTACACTTGGGGCCGCTGCCATTCTGGGCCATGTGCCAGGCTTCGCCTGGTCAAGGAACAAATGTATGCGATGCCTCGGGGTCTTTCGATGCACCAATCCAGCCTGAAGCAGCGCCACATGCACAGTGCCAACGGAAGCCCGGCCGGTGGTTTGCAGCGATTCAATTAACACTGACACTCATGCTAACTTCACCAAATGTGAAACACCTGTCTTTAAGGGTGAGAAACAGCCTTTCCGCTCACCCAATGCTGGAGCCAAAAACACCGGCCAACAGCAAGCTGCCAACTTCGAAAATGTGCGGGTCATCACTGAGAAGAAGTGCAATATCATAAAGTGACATGACATGTGTGTAACTGTGTAACATTGTTTCTGAACAGTCGCGGAAAGCATGCCAATCGAAGGCAAACCATTCAAATCAGTTTTCATTGGATCATGACAGCTGAAACCACGCGGCAGCAGATGCAGTGTCGCAAAGCCGGCTTGACGACATCAGTGGCACGAGTTCGTAGCATGTGCTAGTTTTTCGTCAAGGCTGCCTAGACCTCGCCGTGACCCAAACATCTGGTTTCTTACGACTTCCTCTTTTGCTCAGCGTTTTCAACATAAAATATAAATGTCCGCAATACACGAAATAGAAATGCAACACATATCTGACAAACATATCTGAAATTTATGCAGCAAGTGATGGATTGAATCAGCCCACTCTGCCTTCGACTTTCCCAATGCGAACACGTCGCAGTGAAACACATCGAATTGAAACATCTGTCACGGGCGGTAGTGTCGATGTGCCGTACTCCCTGCTTTCCCTTCTGACCTCCCACTACGCAGCATCATTGGCGGACATGGGAATCATGATAAGATGCTCAATTCCAGTCCCGGCTGCGCTGCAAGGACAATTTTCAACGGGCACAAATATCCAAACTGATTTAGAAAACTCTGAGGGTGCAAATGCAAAAACAAATGGGATATTTGACAGAGTTTCGTGGACTAGATTGAATGCATGCTGCACAAACCAGCAACCAGCCAAATCCAAGTGATTTTGCAGCACGCTTGGAAGAAATTGTCACATCCGAGAAACGCTGAGCTAGACCAGCAACATTGTTTTCTTCATGACCTATCTCCATTCCAATTTCTGAACAGCTGAATTGAGAGAAGCATTGCGACAAATGCAAACGGAGAAAGGTCTAGGCGCCCAATGAAGAGAGGATGGGTTTCTCCTTCTCCGTTCACTCATTGCCTCGCTCACGTCGAAACCCATCAATGACACACAGTCACACAGGAGATAGAGAAGTGCGGAATGATGGCGGACAAGAATAGGATGGGCCCGTCCGTGGCACCAGTCTCTTTCAGTGCGCTGTCGGCACAAGGTGCCCCGCAAAATTACCTATGCAATTTATGCGGGCTGAGCACATGGAAGCAATTTTTTGCAGCACAATGTGGCATCACGGAAGGTGCCGAAGCGCGATGCACCTGGAGCCGTTGACAATTTTCCCGCGCCTTTTTTTGCCAGTCACCCAGGCCATTGTTATACCGGTGTCCCCCCATGCGATGCAGGGAGGTCATTCACATACTGGCGGCCCCGTTTGCGCGGAACCCCTCCAGCTCTCGGCACACAGCTGAACCAGCAAGTCAGACAGGACAGGCACTGCTGTCTCTCTCTGGCTGTCCTCCGCTGACCATCGTGGCAGCCGGGATTTCGAGGCATCGGGTATCAGATAGCGGGACAGTCTCCCTGCGCCCCGCCAGCAACATCAGCAGGGCGCGACGCAATGTCAAGACCGCGGCGTTTTGTGCACCGATCAGCGTGGTGGCCGCCTGTTGAAACCCTTCCCAGGCCACACACGCCAGCCAAAAGCTAACCGAGAGGCAGCTTTCCCGAAAGCATTGCGAAGAGCGGTTTTTGCGGTAAAGTCGTTGCGTTCTGCACAACTCAACTGCGTAAGGTAAGTAGACAATGAAATGCATAGAGGCATGCATAGGGAAAGTGCACAATAAAATCCATAGAGCCATGCATAGGGCAAGTACAAAATAAAATGCATAGATGCATGCGCAGACAAAGTAGACAGAGAAATGCACGGAGTAGACAGTGAAATGCATAAGGAGGCATGCATGGTTTTTTCAGCACGCCTTTTTCCATTGCCTGTTCTGCCACCCTCCAGGAAAAACCCGTAAGGGATGCCCCGCGCAGAAGGGGGCTTGGCGGCTGTTTTTTTTCGGAGGCCAGCGTACACAAAGCTGGCCATCTTTATCCCGGCGGCCCCTGGCCCAAAATTCCATCACCCAGGCAGACGGCTCTCGGCGGGCGAGTGGAGTCCGCGAGAAGCAGACTCCAGTCGGGGCAGGGCTCGACGTGAGCAGGTCCCTCAGCGACGACTCGCACTCCTCGCACTACTGCAGCCGGTGCTACGAGCGCCATGAGCGCCACTAGCATTTCAAGTGCTGCCTTTAGCCTTGTTCGCCTTCAGCCGTGCCCGACCTCGCATTTCATTTGCAGAGCCAGGAGGCGGTCGCTGCGCAATGCACTCTTTCTTGTCCCATTTCACTGTGACAATTGTGATTCTTGTTCTGCTGCCTGCCTTTACTTGTGACACAGAAAAAGTTGGGCAAGGACTCGGCAAAGGAAGGCTGGGCTGCGACGGTGGGCAGGGCAGACCACCGAGCGACCAGAGCTGTACGTAGGGCACGCGCAGCCTCCCGCGAACGGACCGAGCAAAGAGGCAGCCTCCGCACTCCGAGGACGACCAACCGGCAACGGTTGGACCGCAGCTCGGGATCACGCTCCTTCCGCAACTGGGCTTCGACGAGGGCGGCGCTCCGCGTCTGCCCCGCACGGCGGGGTTGGCCAACAGAGTCCAGGGGAGAGAGTGACGCAAGGACAACCCATTCGCGATGACTTTTGCGTGCCAGCATGTGAAAATGAAACACCGTAGACTAGGCCTAGGTGAAACGCGCTCTACGACCCTAAAAGCCCATCAGCCTTCGGAACAGGCCGTCCCGCGGCGAGGCTTGTCAGCCGGGCCGCAGCGGCAGCCTGCTAACCGCCTCGGCCGCGATCCTGGCCCGCGCTAGGCAGGCCAGCGAGGGTGCAACGGCAACAACGCCGGACCAGCGCTGGTGACTCCCTCGCTTTGGCACGGGCGAGGGCGCGGAGCAAATCCCGCGCCTCGCCGTTCCAACCTCGATGCCGAAGACGACGAGCCGGCACCGCCGTGCCGTAAGCAGCTCCGGGTAAGTCGTCTCCCGTTTTCGCCTCGCCGCTTGCTCAAGCACAGCCCCAGCTTGTCTGGCACTGCTGCCTCTGGGCTGGCCGTCCCTCCCGAGTGGGCTGACCATCGTGGCGTCAATGGCAACCTGAGCGCCATGCCACACGGGCAACGCAAACGCCAGGATCCCGATGCGCCGGGCATCCGAGACCGGGACATCCACGTTCATCTCCGTCACTCGGACATGCATGGCCACCCGCCCGCCCGCCTCACGGCAGACACGCGCGATCCTCGCTCCACCGGTAAAGCCCTGGTCCGTAGCACGCTGGACGTTGGGCAGGCAGCGACATGGTCACCCAAAGCATCGGGGGCACCCGCGGCGGCAGGCGCGCGCAGATGCAGGGAGGGGCACGCGCAAGCGGCGGAGGAGGATTGGAGGAAGCCCCCGGGCTCGCCAGGCACCTGGCCACCCCGCCGCTCAGCCGAGCAAGGCACCACAGTCCTGGGCGCAAGCATTGGGTGACGCACCCGAAGTTCCAGCAAGCCAGGCGATGTCGCCTGACGGTGGAGGTGATGTTGGCGACGCGTACGCAAGCGCGCCGCTCGATCTCTGGCGCCCGTTGGGCGGCTGCCACGTAAGGGCGCTCTTATGTCTGACAAATCTTAAGCCCGCGACGTACACGTCATGCCCCAGCGGCGTGCTCGGCCGCATTTTGCCCAGATGGGCGCGGATGTTCGCGCGCTCCCACAGCGCTGCGCCCCGGCAGCTCCGGCTGACAAGTAACGCAAATGTCGTCCAAGTACGCGCGCAAGTCATCAGGGCCGCGTGCGAGCAGTGCTGCTGCAACGCGTAAATGGCGGGCATCAGGGACCGTAGGTGCTGCGGGAAAGAACCGGCGCGCCGCCGCCGGCCATGGCCCCGCTTCTGCCCGCCTTGTTTGCTTTGGGTCAGCAGGCCGCGTTGGCGAGGGTTTTTGCTTGCTCGTACAGCCCCTGTTCGAGTGCGGCAAAGGCCGGGCCACATGGTCATCCTGGGCACTCCGTTTGGGCGGGACAGGTTCGTCCGGCAACATCTAAGCGGGCTGCGCGCTCGCCATGAAGACAGCGTATCCCGCAAGCGCGTGACAAGTCCTGCCCCCAGCCACTGCTGCGCAATTTGCCGAGGAGCATGATGCAGCCGTGCTCAGATACCCAGCCAGACCGCTCGACCACTCGGACGCGCTGGCGCAGCAGGGCCCCTTCGCTGGCCGCAAACTCACCGCCCCTCACACCTGTTCCGGATCGTCCTTCTTCG